AACTTATTAATTGTAACATGCTTCATCACATATTTAACATTTATTCATGTGACATTGATGTGGTAAATTTTCCGGATCAACTCCAAAAATTGATTAAACTTTTTGCATTTTTAAAAATGTGTCTATGTTGCTACTAACAAAAGTTTCACAAAAAAGTTTTTTTAAATCAAAATAAGTTAATAGGCATAAATTACTTTTTTTTTTCTATTAAAAAATTCAAAAAAATAAATAATTGATTATTATATTTTTTAGTCTAGGGGGGTTTGAAGTTACATCAAAATTCCGTCCATATATGGATGGAATTTTGATGAATTTAAGGGATAATATTCATAATAACCAAAAAAGACAATACAAATTAAAAAAAAAGAACCTCTGGTTAGTTATTAACATGTCTTCTTTAGGAGACTCACATTTTGTCACCTTGGTTGTTTTCCCAGAAAAAAAATCAATCACATCAACAAAAAAAAATCTTTGTACAACACCAAGTGCCAATAATAAATAATTAATATGTATGTGTTTGTCAATCATATCACAAAAAATTTTAAAAAAATGTCTTACAGGCCAAATAAAAGAAAAAAAGAAAAAGAACTAGCAGATATTTCTGTCTAAGTGTCATTTATCATTAAATGGTAGTGGTTATGATTACCACAATTCATTGTTGTCACTCTAGTTTTAATTTATTAAAAAATGATGATAGTTTTATGCCTATTTCAATTTCTTATGTATTGAGAAAAATTGATATAGAAAATAAGTTGGCACCAGAACAATTATTTGACATTGATGCATTAGCTAAAAGTATTAGAACAGTTACACCAAATCCTCCTAAACCATTAATGCCAATAGAAGTACTAGAAGTTTTAAATCAATTATATTCCAACATTGAGAATGAAGAATCTGGTCCTGACAAAGAATTTAGTTATGAAACTGAACCAAAAAAAATCAAAACTACTAGGAATCTTGGTAAATTGCGAACAATGACCACTGTTTAAACCTACATGAAGAATTTTTTCAAGTAATCATGATTTCTTTTAAATTACAATAGCTTGTCCTGACAACAACAACCAAAATCTGACTGATGAACAAAAAAAAGTTTATGATTTAGTAATAAATAAAAGATTAAACATATTTCTTACAGGATCTGGTGGCAAATAGTTGTGAATTATTATTATTTGTGTCTGTACTAGTTAATTAATCATATGTATATGATTTTAAGGCACTGGAAAAAGCTACCTCTTTAAAGTTCTCATCAAAAAATTGAAGGAAAAATCTAATGTATGCATTACTGGGTTGGCAGCATTTCCTATTGGTGGTATGACATTACATTCTTGTTTAGGATTAGGAACATATTTAGGTAATTGGAGTGTAGATGAATTAATAACAAGGATAAAAAATTCGAATGGATCTTATGAAAGATGGAAAGAAATTGAAGTTTTATTGATTGATGAATGTAGGTTTTAATATTTATTTCATTATGTAATCCAATTGTCTTGCTGATATCAAAAGTCAAATTAGAACATATGCAATATTGAATTGGGTCTGTATGCATAATTTATCTCCTTTTTATATTAACAATACTTCTTTTAAGTATCTATGCTTGGTGGTGACTTGTTTGATCAATTGGAAGAGATTGCAAGAATGATAAAAAATGTTAATAAACCATTTGGTGGTATACAGGTCTGTCTAGAAGAATATATTTGTTTTGATGTTTTGGCTGATACTGACTTTCGATAATTTTAGCTGGTGATTTTTGTCAACTGCCACCAATCTGTAAATCAAAAAAGCCAAAATATTGTTTTGAATCCCATTCATGGCACAAATGTATTGATCATACAATTCAATTAACAAAAATTCATAGACAAAAGGATTTAGGTAAACTTTTGAAAAAAAGTTAACAAAAAATTTTTGGATTGTGGTTACTTATTGAATTTCTTTATTGGATTGTTAGAATTTATAACAATGTTAAATGAAATTAGATTTGGAATAGTGACCAGCAAAACTAATGAAATAATGAAAAACTTGCAAAAGAAAGTTCCAATTACTGATGATGAAATTGAATCTACTGAACTGTATGTTAATTATAATATGATATGCTTTTAAATAACTTGTGAACCTATTTTGAAATTCATTAAATTAATTATCAGGTATCCCACAAAAACTACTGTAAATTTTAAAAATTCTGAACAACTTGAAAAGATACAGCATAAAAAATATATCTATGAAGCAAAGGACTGGGAACCAGAGAAGAATGGTGTTTTATATATACTCAATAATGAGTGTCCTGCAAAAAAGTGGATTGAAATAAAGCGAGATTCACAAGTGATGTTAATCAAAAATTTGAATAGATCATTAATAAATGGTACTAAAGGAAAAGTAATTGGATTTTATTTATCAGAAACAAATGAATATTACTATAATGGAGAAGATGAGCTATTAGTAGATAAAACTGGATTACCTATTGTAAAATTTGTAAATGGCACAGAAAGAGTTATGGATTTTGAAAAGTGGAGTATTGAAGATTCAAAGGGAAATGAATTGGCAAGGAGATTTCAGGTTTTGTTTTTGAAAGTCATCAACTCTATTATTTTTTTTTTTTTTTTGGAAAATAATTTAATACTGGCTTGGTTTCAATAGATACCACTTACACTAGCTTGGGCAGTTAGTATCCACAAATGCCAAGGACAAACATTAGACTGTCTGAAAGTAGATCTTGGAAATATATTTGAAAATGGTATATTATATAAATATTAATGTTTATTTATTGATAATTTGTTTGGAAAATTGATATTGATATCATTGAATATTATTATATACTTAAAGGTCAAACATATGTTGCACTTTCTTGAGCAACTTCACTTTCATCATTACAAGTGATCAATTTCTCTCCTTCAAAAGTAAAAATTGATTCTAAAGTCAAAAGTCTTTATGATATGGTTGGCTCGGTCTAAAGGCCTCCTATTGCTGCGCTATGCGGCCAAATTTCATAAATAACAATTTTGTAATTCATTCAAAAATGTAATAAAATTTTTCAAAAAATAGGACCTCAAGTGATTTTAGTTTTCTTACTGCCAAATTTAGATACGATAGTCAAGAACTAGTCTAAATTTGGTAATATTGTTCTAAATTCAGAAATGATCACAGTTAAGGTTGCTTGCCAAAACTCATCCAGAAATCAATCAGCAGGATTTCAGCAGGTTACACATTAATTGTTTATTAGAGTTTTGGCAGAGTTTCGCATTTTGAGGTTTCGCCATTTCAGCATAGTTTCAACAGGATTTTTGGTAAGATTTAATATAGTTTTGCCATGGTTTCAGCAATTACGAAGGAGGTTTCGCCCACAACCTTACTTTCACCATCATTAAACAATTCCTTACACTACTAAATAAAATCTTTTAGATATCCTGATTGTGTTTATTGGTAGGTGCCTTCTAGCTGTCTTCCTCTTTACTACAAAGTCAGGCACATATCTAAAAACTACTAAATAAAATTCATCAAATATTACCTTACTAAAACTCACTAATAGAAAAGAAAAGGAATAAAAAATAATAAACAAATATAAACAAATATAAAATTTATTATGCTCGGGATTAGTATGAATTCATTGTTAGAGATAGATTTATTATCATTACTAAAATAAATTCGAAGACTATGACAAGGACAAGGACAAGGTTAAGGACAGTGTTATTTATTAAATTATTATGATGATGATAAAGATGATGAAGATGATCCATGAAGTTGAGAAAATTACAATGTTAAAGGTTCTATCATCCAATTCTCTGATTTCTTTGAAACCCTAATTTATCCTAATTAAATGTATTTGTAGGATTATTTTCAAGTTATTTCTAAAGTGATCAATCATTTAAATTCCTTCATTTAAATTTAATTGAGAAATAAAGGTCTGTTACATTTTAGAGCTTTAGAATATTTACTTCTCCATTGTTTAAGATATTTTCCATGGGCTAATTATTTTATTGTGATTAAATAACAAAGATATTGCAGGGAGCAGTGTGCCATCCCCCAGAAAAGGTCATTGATATCACCAAGCTTACTTTGTTAAAAAATTATATTATAAACATTTTACATTAAAGTTTTCAATCCATCATGATTAACCTTTTCCAATCTTTTGTATTCAATCAAAGCACTTTTCTTTTGAGAAAAACCAAATCTCGGGATGTTCAAGTTTTCCAAGAAGCTTGCACTACTCAAGCTTAGCCTTCAGCAAATATGTTCTCATCAATAGAGATGGTTATATGAGGTAAGGTCAAACCCTCTGTTTTATGAACAGTCAATGAGAAGGCATTTTGCAGCAGGAATTGTATAAACTATTAATTAATTAAGGAAGGTATTTTCATCACTCATTATTGTACAACAAATGTATAATTGACATTTTGTCTTGTCTTAATGATAGTTGAGTTCCTTTTCCTTATTGTTATCCAGCATTAGATAACATGATCAAAGGAAACAATGAAAAATTCCATCATATAAACTTTAATTAATTAAAAAATGTATTTTCATCACTGTTTAATATAATAAATAGGATAACATTTGTCTTGCATAATCTCAATGCTATTCAGGTTACCTAACATTACATTAATAATAATAAGGAAAAGTAACACAATCAAAGGAAATAAAGAAAATTCATCACATAAATTATTAGCTAATAAGTATTCTCATCACATTATTTGTTATAACATGTGTACAACAACATTAAATTTTGGGTGTTTGAATACAAAATTCTGATTGGCTAATTTGAATTTCACGTGTGTGAATTTCAAATTGACACAGATTCCAAATTCATGCACAACATGTGCACCTAAACACAAAAAAAAAATATCTTGTTAAGTTCCCATTTCATCACTTGTTTTGCTCATTTCCAATGATTTCTTCAACTTTTTCAAAAGACTTTGATTCAACAAACATGTCCTCAAGTTTTTTCGGTGCTGCTCAATTCTTGTCAACATTTTTTCCTTATTTTTTATTGTTTGATGGTGATGGTGATGATATGACAAGATGATAATTCTATAACTAGATATGTAAAGTCCAGCTCCAGGGCTTCCAAATGCAAAAAAATCATTCCCACCTGGTACCAATTTGCCAACCATTGAAATTTTAGGTTATCCTTGATTTATTGGAATCTAGTAAGTAAATCATTTATATAAATAAATACATTCAAGTGTCTAATAGTTTACATGCCAGTTTAATTGTAAATAAATGTTTTTACCTAGAATTGATATGATATGATGCCAAAATACTTGTTCCAAAGATTTTGTTTTAGTGACTGTTGTAAATCTTTTTTAGTAAAACAACTCTCACCCCAATTTATTATCTTTTTATGGATGTTGTTAATGTATGTGCCAGTGCATATGAATAGAAGGAGGGTTTGTAGCAGTTGCTTGTGGCCACCATTACCACCATCATTGTTATCATTAACATGACCACCATCACTATTACAAACATTGTTGATGTAGTTGCTGCTGCTATTATTGTTATCATCATTGTCATCATCATTATTGTAATCATAATTATTATTATTGTCATTATTGTTATCATTATCAATGGTATCATCATCATTATTATCATTATTATTAACAAAAGAAATCTTGGTCAATTGAATTAATGTGAGTAGGAAAAAAAGCAAATGAGAAATTTAATATAGTAAAAATTCAAGCAGTTTTGGTTGTTAATATTAGTATCAATGATACATACATATTTACAACCATATTCTAATGCAAATCACCCTGCAGTTTATATGATATTGCCAATTGAAACCTTTTTCCTTGGTCACCACCATTGCTCCTCCACAAAATTCCTTGAAAATTAATTCTTCATGTTCAGTCCTGAATATTGCAGTTCCTTTTAAAAGGCCATTTATTTCAACTAACAATGCAAATGAAATCAGTTAAACTAATAAATATTAAATCATCAGATAAATTTTTAATTATTAAATTTTTGATTGAATTTTTTTGTTGAAATTAAAATTTGTTAAATTCACCTATTTATTACAACAAATGTACATACAATAGTAAAATCTTATTAGTAATAGAATAGCTGGGACGAATGAAAAAAAAATGTCAATTGAGGAAAGAGCATCATATATTGAAGAAAATGAATTAAGAGATAAATTGGATAGTTTAGAAAAAGAATTTTCATGTAATAATAAGCACCAGTAAGAGGTAAAAAATGAGAATCTAAATATATCTAGTCATTTACTTGATATCTGATTATTTATTAAATGAATGGTATTGGAAAAATCTCTATGTAAATCAAAATATATAGATCAATATAATCGGATATTTGAATATTTTTAAATGATTCAATTTTCAATTCAATTAATTCACTTAAAATGGTAGAAGAGGTTGGGAAAAAACTTGCTACTGCTTGTATTTTGAAGAAAAGAAAATGGAGGTTCTAAGAAGTTAAGTTGGATATTTGATAAAAATTTTTTGGAATCTTTTTACATT